TCTCTCTCTCTCTCTCTCTCTCTCTCTCTCTCTCTCTCTCTCTCTCTCTCTCTCTCTCTCTCTCTCTCTCGCGCGCGCGCGCGCGCGCGGGGCAACATTTGCATCTGACAGCTCCATAGTCCATACTCACAACGGGACTTGTCCGTCGCGGTTTATCGTCCTATGTTGTTGCAGAAGATTCCTTCTCATTTTGCACATTGGCAGGCTGCTCAGTTGATGCACACATGGAACTGTTCAATTGCAGACGTGAGCTCAAATCCAGCAGTGACCACAATAAAATACTTCTGATTTACAAAGGATCCGACGCATACTTGTGGCGCATCCCGTGCGCGGGGTCGCGGCACATGCGGCGCAGAGCGCACACGCATGCATGCGCGCGCAGGTGATGCGGCGCATCACCAAAACGAAATAAAAAAATAAAAAATTGAAAGGACAGGGTGGGGTGGCCAAACATCCCCCTCGCTTTTAAAAATCAGAAAGCAAGAGGGACAAACTCCGGGGCCACGCCATACCCCAAAACTGTGGGCACATGTCTATACATGTGAGTATTCCTGTTTTAATTGTGTCCAGCCTCTTTTCAGAAGGGCCCCTACAGCTAATTAGCTAGGACCCCATGTGTAGCAGAGGTACACTTCAACCTTGCAGTTTTTAAGCGTGGGCCAAGATTATATAGTCTGGATTCGAATTCAGGTCTGTGCATCTCGGTTTCAGCAGTTATGGGTTGCTCACTGAGCTAGGCCTTGTTGGTCTCTGCACGATTCTCAGGGCTTGGCTGCACTACTCACCAAATGTGCAAAACTAGAATGAATCTTCTGCAGAACATGGAATAATACGCCGCCATATGTGTTGTCTTTTGTGCATGTGGTGAGTAGAGCACCTAAGAAAAGAAAAACGAGAAAATCCAAAACCAGAAAATTTTCTCGTTTTTCTTTTCTTAGGAATACGTGCAGTGGCCCTTAGGGCCTCTAGTCACCACATGCACAAAAGACAAAACATATGGTGGCGTATTATTCCATGTTCTGCAGAAGATTCATTCTAGTTTTGCACATTTGGTGAGTAGCGCAGCCAAGCCCTGAGAATCACGTAGGTCCTCTATGTGAGCAACCTGTAACTGCTGAAACATCCCCCTGTATTTGAATCCTGCGTATATATTCGGCCAGCTCGTGCT